GTTAAGTGAAATCTATATCCTAAACAAAGCCTTTATTCTTTCTAAGTCACACAATGGTTGCGTCTGACCTTCCGTGCGCGAGTGTCTATGCCTGTGTCTGTATTGTGTGAGAGTGACTTACATGTGCTTTTTGCCATTTAATGAACACACACGCACACACATATACACACACAATTTGACCGAGTTTGAAATAAGACATCGGGACAATACATTCACTTCTCTCTCAGTTTGGGCAACTCCTACCCTGACCTGAGCCTTTAAATAATAAAATTACAGACAAAAAAAAAAAAAACAAACAAAAATAAATAAATAAAAACTAAAAGTGACTTAATTTATTAAACCCTAAAAAAAAAAGCATGATTATAAAATTTATTGAACTTTTCGGAAATTATAGATTTTTCTTTTATAAATAAAATTATCTTTAAAATTATTTTAAAAAATTGTAGGAATACTTTTAGGGTTGACATTGAATTAAAATATGCATGTGCAAACATGCATACCTACACATAATGAATGAAATTGGAATGCACATCTGTCATGAGTGCTAATTTCTGTCTGGTAACAACTGGAGAACAGAAAAAGTGTATAACCTGAAAAGTGCAGCACTTTTTTATGTTATTTTTATGACTCCTTCTGTATTTAAATTGAATATAATATATATATATATATATATATATATATATATATATATATATATATTCTAATAAATATAGTATTTTAAATGGACAAACAATTCAGATTTGAAATTTGATCAACTTGTCATCAACGAAACGACAGGTATCGAACTAAATACATATATAATTGTATTTAGTACTTTTGTTTTAACAAAGAAACGAATGATATATATATATATATATATATATATATATATATATATATATATATATATATATATATATATATAAGTGGACACAGAGGACAACACCCACAATGGCGCTGCTAGATGTTGAACTCAATGTCCACTTTTATATTTACATACGCTTTATCTCTGATATTGAGCACTTTAGCCCATAAATATAGCATACCTTAATACACACACACACACACACACACACACATATATATATATATATATATATATATATATATATATATATATATATATATATATAATTAATATAAGCAAACTGATTGATGTTACCTTCAGCATCCCGACTCCATAGTTTCGTACACGGACCCTTTAGGAATCACTCCGTATACTCGTCAGAGGATGTCAAGAATTGACTGCTTATACTTCCCGGATTTTCTTTTTTTTTTATGTGAACTTTTCATTCATTGGTGCAAGTTTTTTTCATAGTGTATGTGAGCGTGCGTGCGCGTGCGCACACGCATCATATATATATATATTATGTATGTGTGTATGTGTGTGCGCGCGCGCGCGTGTGTGTCTATACACATATAAAAATAAACATTTATTTACTCATTTACTGCTTGTGTTGTGCATAGCAATTTTTCTAAGTGGGTGGTTTTTTTTATCCTTGAACGATTGTGAGATCTGTCTTTTTAAAAGAATATACAAGAGTGCTGACAAAAGGATTTTTAAAAATTATAAATTTAGTATTAAAAAGCTCTTTTAAAATATTTAAAATCGAGTACTCTTTTTTTATACGTAAGAAAAGGAATATATAAATAACGTATGTGTGTGTATGTGTGTGTGTATGTGTGTATAAGCCGATATAAAATAGTCAGTCAGTCAGTTGTGCAAAAATAAAAAAAATAAAACACAGCAAAATCAAGAGAAATCTTAACCAAAAATCTCACAACACTATTTTATCAACTTTAAAACTCTAAAAAGTGAGAAATCTACTTGTATGTTGCAAGCCGTTTTCAGAAGACAAGTACTGTAAACTTTAACAATATCAGTTCAATATAATAATAATAAGAGTAATAATAATAAATAATAATAATAATAAATTGTTCTCACGAGTACAGCCCACACCTTACGAAGGGCTTTATATCTTTAAAATATGTGTGTGTGTGTGTGTGTGTGTGTGTGTGTGTGTGTGTGTGTGTGTGTGATTGAGTAGGTACACATCTACTTATCATCTCTCAGTTGCGTCTCTGTCCTTGGACAGAGGGCGCTCAGGGTCTTCTCTGTCAAAAGACAGAGGAGCAACTGAGAAAATTATACTGAAGAGGTGCCCAGCCCTGGGAAACAGCTGCCCGAGGCCGCGCCCTCCCATTGCACAAGAGGGAGGGATCGGTGCTCGCACCGAGGCCAGCGCAATCGACGGTTGTGGGGGCTGAGGGGAATTTTTGCTCCTGTCCCGGGTGTACGAGCTCGGGTCCCCACCTAAAAATAGACCTTGTGTCACATCTCGTCTTAGTGGGGGGACAGAATAAATACCGTGTGTGTGTGTGTGTGTGTGTGTGTGCGCGCGCAAATATGTTTTAATTGGTCAGTGGAAAATGTCATGATGCTATTTCTAACCTAAGACTTTGGGCGGGACCCGGAAAGAAATGTGTACACTAAACACCAGAAATCAAAGGAAATAAAATAATAATATGTAGGACTTTGTAGAGTTTTTCCGAAGTATGTCAAACAGCTACAAAAGGAGGATTTTTTAAAATGTCAGAATCTAGGAATTACCTACAAAAATTAAATCTAGAAAACTATTAAAAATTGGTGGACGTAGTAGAAAAGAGGAGACAAGCTATAGAAACAGAAGTTTCATCCAATCATCGTTAGTTTGAGTAAATGCAAAAACCTACAAGTTTATATCACATGAAAACATTTTTAATTTTCTTGTTTTTAATTTAGAAATATATGACTTTGCAACAGGTTGTAGTCAGTCATCGCAAAAGATGCTAGATGCTCGGCACAAATCTACATTTAACAATTTCCTTACTTTCCAAGAGATAATCCAAAGATCAAACACTCACCAACAACCGAAATTACATGTTAGTCTCTCTAAATTAGTAACATAAAAGTACTTTATTTTCTCCTGTAAATTTTGTAATTTCCTTACTGAGATAAATTCTCTATATCAAACTCATCTTCATTTCTACGAACATTTCAAATGATAAATATGTTTAATGAAAATATACATCCGCAGAAAATAAACATATAAAAACGTTGTTGTAAAAATGTAAATAAGTTGTAATTTAGCATTTTATTCCCAAAATAATGATAGTCAAAGTCACAATTGATACAGTAAAGAAATTTCGGCCAAATTTCTTTACTGTATCAATTGTGACTTTGACTATTTACCAACGCTGCTATAAAATGGTGAACCCGTAAAAAGAGATATTTTGAAAAAACTATTTTGTTTCAACAGACGATTAAAAAAAATTAGTCATATATACTCAGCAGCGTCTTTTTGGTGCTTAATAACAAGTGATATGTAATCTTTTCGATTAAAAAATTATAATTATTTAAAATTGTTGACGAATGAATTTCAGTTAATAAAATTGAGTGTGACGTGTTAAAGCATCAGAATTTATGAAAATAAAAGTAAATAGCGAGTTTCCTATACTACTACACAGTCATAGAGAGAGATTTTACGTTACTACCGCCTTACCTGCTGAAATAGTTGCGAAAATTCCTTCTTCAGTGCTAGATTCTCATAAATGGGATTAAAACAACCTATTTTGTCAGTTTAGAAAAGTGCAAAGTATGAAATGCTGGACGAGCTGGGAAAGACAACTACAATCACAATATTTCCATCAGTTTATTTACAAGAAATGTTATCAGTTATATATCGATAGATGATCATAGCGTCGCTAGTAAAGAAATAGTACAACAAACATTTCTGCAAACATTACCGCCACTTCCTTATAGCATCTGACATTTTGTCAAAAAAGAAAAAAAAAAGTAACCTCTACTCAATTAGGCAAACTAGCAGACGAGTTAATGCCTTTATCGAATAGAAAATCTATAGCCTCCGCTGTAAAACAAGAACAAATGCCCTCGCATTCACCAAGAAAAAATATAGTAAAATACATTACTAAGAGGTCTCAGATCACATTATATATATATATATATATATATATATATATATATATATATATATATATATATATATATAATAAAATAAAAAATATAGTAAAATACATTATTAAGGGTCTCAGATCACATTACAATATATATATATATATATATATATATATATATATATATATATATATAATAAAATAAGAAATAAAATAAAATAAATAATAAAAACAACAAAATAACAGAAACTTAAAATATGCAACGCTCAGAATTTATTTTACACCGACAAGACAAGAACGTGTCAGTTTTGGTGAAGATGGCGCAACGAAGTGACCATGAAATGGTAACCAGTTCCCGACCACCAAACCCAGTTTCAAGTGACACAGAAAACTAATATTTCTATTAGTATGATAGTGTTTCATTGTTATCAATTTCTCTTATTGAACGGAATTTTTTTGGTCCTCAGCTTCTTTATCAATTTTATCAGCCAGTGGTGTGATAAATAAGCTGTCAAAAACAAGCGAATATGAAAATCGAAATTCTTTGTTTAAAAAGATCTTTCCAATGGACTTTTGTCATCGCTCATGTAATCAATCTTTTGTTAGACTTTGACATTTTGGAATAATTCCAACTTAAAAGTTATATAAGAGAATATAACAGAAGATTAATTTAAATGTCCCTCTATAAATGTAATTGTTAATGAATGACGTTAGTCTTCCTCCATTTGTGAATGAATTAACAAGAAAACACGTTACGTCACCTCATGGAAAGACAACTGGGAAATAATATGGAGTTTAGGATAAAGGAAACCACATTCGATTTCTTTTCCTAAGTTTGACAAATTTATGTACAAAAAATCCAAAGCATGACGAATAGAATATATATTTTTTAATTCAGATTTTCGGAGTGATATCTAGAATGAATGGACAAAGACTCTACATGTTGTTTTCAAAATCTGACAACCATTATCGACGATGCAAAAAATAATATTCTGACGCTGGGGATATGAGGTAGTTAAATGTTGATTCTGAGCAGAAAAGGGTTAAGCCTAAAATGGAATGTAAACTGGAAGAGAGAGAGAGAGAGAGAGAGAGAGAGAGAGAGAGAGAGAGAGAGAGAGAGAGAGAGGAGATTCATTTTCCTTGGTGAAGATGGGACCATCTGGATTTCTTCTCTCCTAAAGTTTATTTTTCCTATCTATCGAGAGTCTGGTATACGAAAGAAAACAGATTTTGGAGAACAATTTTATCTATTCCTTGAGAATTTAGGTAAACAAATATATTTTCGTTGATGAAAACGAATTGGGAAATGAAAACAAGGAATGAACCCTTTTTCTTAAGGTCGAAATTATGAAAACAGATACCTTAAGTGCCGAGAGTGTGATGTGGTTTGTGTTTTTGCTGGACATAAATAAATTCAAGAATGGAGAGATAATTTTACCTCTACCTTGAAGAGATAGGAGAATTAAAATTGATGATTAGAGTGAGCTACGCTCTTTCGCCCACACAATTTAAAAATTAGATTTATTTCAAAGACAGTTATGCCAGCCCTGAGAGGTGGGCTGAGGTAGAATGCTGAGAAGGAAGGCGAAAGAGGAAGAATTTAGCGCCGCCTGTGTGGAGTGGCAGTGCGAGATGTGAAGTGAATCGCGTTGGAGTTAGGGGGGGGCAATCCCTGTAACTACTCACGAGAAGGGGGATAATTCTCCAAATTTGGAAAGTTGATTAAGAAAGCAGAAATAGGAAACAAATAACCCTTATTGGAATTAATGTGAAAATTGAAGAATCAACGAATCGCAAGAACCCTTCGGCCAGATGCCAGTTTGGGGCCAAAGTGCATATAAGCAGATAGCTTTGAGAAGTCGAAGACTTAGGGTGAGAACCTCGCATCAAGTAACTCTGGAATCCACATCAGCTGCCACCAGATTTCCTCATCCCGAAGAACTTTGAACCCAAATTATTAGGCGAGGCACAGTGTCACTATCAAGATTGATGCAGAAAGGGTTCATTTTTGTTCTACCAAGAACTATATAAACCAATTGAAGATTAGCCCCATGAATCTTTCGTTTTATTTTTTTTTTCCTTGTGAAGATATTTCTTCCTTAATATAGCACCAGCCATGGCTTTTTACCAGCGCCGCGATTTCTACGACATTCGATCTTCCAGTGCTCTGAGATCGAGAACACAGCGTAGGCAGAGTTGGTGCGGATCGAAGCGGCCAGCGACAAACAACTAGCTTGGACCAGCGTTAGCATTGACCAGTGCAAAGTTGCACTGTGGTTAACCACTAAACATGGTTATACCACCGGGTGTAGGTGGCGGTAAAAGGTGTTATAGTATTATAAAAAAGTGATTAATACCCGATGCCAAATATCAATTCATTTACCTTTAAGCATGCCAGGTTAAAGTTGTTTTTCAAAAATAAACATAACCTGTTTTTCATCTGATTAAAAAAAATAGATCCTGATGATGTGCTGAAAACAACAGTAACCTCATCTTTCAGAATGTTTGAATATAATTCATAATGCCTTTCGGGCTAAAAAAAAAAAATGAGACAGCAACATTTCCCCGATCCTTGGACATAATATTTGCTAATGAGGACTGCAGTCGTGTATTTAGATGATGTCTTTGTATTTAGTAATGATGAAAAGGCACAGAAAAATGATTTTGATTTGTTTTTTTTTTATTTTTACATGAAAACAATTTTTAAAATTACGTTAAAATGTTCCTTTAATGTTACTAATTTAGAATTTTGGGTTATAAAGTAAATACAAAAGGAAATTTATCTTTTAAAAAAAAATGTTAATGTACTGGTTGTCGGAGTTCTCCTCCTTAGCTCTTTAACCTCCAACAGGGGTCTCTCTCCCCTGGCTATAAATACTCGCTGACCCTTCGCCTCTCTCTCTTTTTCCCTCAGGCCTTTGGGCCGCCACCTTGAGGTAAATCTCTTTTCAGCTAACAACAAGATGGGAACTCTCACAGATACAGCGTTTCCCAAATGCTGGGAACACGCTAAGAACAATACACGTACGTACGAACACACACCACAACACACACATTCTGTTCATGTAAATGTCCACTCAATGTAACTTGTTATTAATACATATATTTGTTTACATATATTTATCGGTCTTGTGTTTGTTTTTCCTTGTCTTCTTTGGACTTATTTCTCATGTAGTTGGACTGGCTAGCAGGAAAATTTTAACTCACGTGTATTCTTCTACTTCTACTCAACATCATCGCCACGGTCCTCTACATGACATATTCCCATACCCAAAGGATTTTAAAACTTTTACGTAGAGTTTTGGTAGGTTTTTATCGCAAACTTATTCCCATTTATGCCAACTATATTACCCTTTCTCTGAACAGATGAGATTACTTTCCAGCTGCTCTTTCAAATTATCCGATATTGAAAAAAATTCTTCTAATAATATTGTGCAGTGACTTAATGTATTGTTACTGCCTTAGCTTACCCGCAATCTGAACTAAAATTTGGTCACTTATAGTAGTTAATAAAATGTCGGGATAGGATTATGTGGATTACCTAACTTGGCTCTACCAAAAGCATTCGCTAGGGGGCGCTCTTTAAGCCTATAACTAGGAAGTGATATTCTCACTCACCCTCTTTTTAGTCTTTTTTAGCTGTCTTTCAGATATAGTTGCACGCAGTTAGGAACACTGCCAACAAAGAACGTTCGTTTCTTTGCTCCTCCTTTGACTTTTAAACTCTCTCAAACACGCATATACACACACGTCTCTATCACACACGCTTGTTACACACACACACACACACACACACACACACACACACACACACATTCTTCTTATAACTTATTTTTAATGTTTTTTCCCTTTCATTACCATTTTCTACAAATGTAATTCCTTTTATTAATACATGCATTGTCTTTTTTTATATTTAACTAGCAGTAGAGCCCGGCGTTGCCCGGGGATGTAACAGTAAGAGATAGATCAAGTATCGACCATCATAAAGACTGAAAAATAAAATTGACAAAGATTATTGTTTAAGGCTGACGGACACGCATGTCTTAATTAGTTTTTTTTTTTTGTTTTTTTTTACGAATTGGTCAAACCCAAACTCAAACAAAACATTGTTTTCAATCGTTATGAGTCTACCGATTGAATAGAATTTTATTATAAACAATTGTCTTGAAAATGGAATTTTTAAAGCATTCTGAATGTAAAAATAAAAAAAAAAAGTGTGCAAGACAATAAGAAACACTACCTGCCAAAAAAAGTGAAGTTTTGTTGAAATCGGTGGAAAAATGTAGGAAATCCGATCCCATATATAAACGAACACACACACAACACACACACACACACACACACACACACACACACACACACAAACAACAAAACAACCTGGGTTTTATAATAAGTATAACTCGATATGAGTCGTCCCCCTTTCCTTCTAGCGATGCCTCTTAATCGTGTTTTCAAATTGATTTCGTGCAAAAACAATTGTGTTTTTCCAATTTTTGGCGCTGTCAGAACCACCGCAAGGTAATTTTATGTAGTCCTGTGAAGTTTTGTTGAAATAGGTTGAAAAATGTAGGAAATCCGATCCGATATATAAACGTACACACACACACACACACACACACACACACACACACACACACACAACCTGGGTTTTATAATAAGTATGATGTTTTATAAAACAATTTTTACCTGGATTCACATTGAGCTCGCCAATATTGTTTGCGGCGTAAATTTTCCAGGAGCTCGTAAATATTTACTATCCAAAGTGTTGATTCCCACAACAAAATGGTAACTATATTTACCCAAACATACTAGTACCCCGCAACAAGTACATCAAGTGATAGATGGGATACCCATTCCTATTAAGCAAAAACGCAGAATAACACACCCTACACGCACATACAAAATAAAAGATTAAAATATGTAAATTTCATCGATCATTTTAATTATAGCAGCAAACACGTCTTGAAATTCTTATCTGAATAAATATTGGCAAATATACTCCCATTGATGAACGATTCTGTGTGTGCATTTTTCTTTAAGAAAAAACCTTTTTAGATGGAATCAGGAGTTCTCTTATAGTGGGTTATCAGTTATAGTGAAGTGTATGAGTGTTGAAACAGGATAGTTTGATTTGGTCTTGTTAGTTAGATAGCCCACCATAAGAGGGGTATAAAACAAGAAAATCAAATTGTAAAGTGAAATAACAAATTTATATACATATAAATCAATTAAGGTCTCTACAAATAAAATTAATGTATTTTGGTTGATGTAAGTTCGTCAAAAGGTTCATAGTAGTCCTTGCAAGAACGAGTTTATGTGCACGTAGGCAGGAACGTATGTGTGGATGTATGTATGTATGTATGAGCGTTATCGTAGGGTAGAAATGTATTTGAAGTAATCGCTCAGTCTTAAAATGTTCCGTTCGTTTATCAAATATAAAAGAGGTGAGGGAGAAAGGTAGAAATAATAATAACGATCGCTTGACGTTTGTCACGGGACGTGTTAATACGCTCATCTCCTTCTCTCTGGCGACAGGAGAACTTGCCCGTCTTTTATTTTGTTTGTGGGGCTTGAAAAGATCCCTTGGGAATGATTCGGGCCTTTCCATTGGACGACGAACAAACTTCGCGTCTGCTCGCGAAAAAGTCCGTAAAAGAATTTGTTTCTGAGAATTGAAGATTATTTGAATTTTGTTTTTAAATGTTTCTTAGTTTTCTATTGACTGAAAAACATTTCGCATCAAGGTGTGAAATTTCACGAGTTTTGTTTTGGATTCGCTTTTGCGTGTGTGTTAAGCAAAGTCTGTAAATTCGAGTCTTTTTAATTTCTAACAAAATCAATGAGTCAGTGCTTAGCGTTTAAATTTTAAATCTAGATCTTGTTTTGTTCACTACACTCTTTTTCTCAGTATTTTGGATATATACACTGGAACTTCAGGACCAGCAAAAGTTTCTTTATGGATAATGAATTTATGACGTGATCTGTTATTATATGCACTTCAGCTATCACTGATACATGTCGTACCCAAACGTAGTCGCATTCGTATCACTTCTTATAGAGTTTCTTTGATTCTGTCTTTGAGAATCTCAATAAAATAGCAAAACGACTGAGAATTTCTTTGTATCCCTCCAAAAAGCCATTGTCAACTCACATCTTTGTATCCCTCCAAAAAGCCATTGTCAACTCACATCTTTGTATCCCTCCAAAAAGCCCTTGTCAACTCACATCTTTGTATCCCTCCAAAAAGCCATTGTCAACTCACATCTTTGTATCCCTCCAAAAAGCCATTGTCAACTCACATCTTTGTATCCCTCCAAAAAGCCATTGTCAACTCACATCTTTTCCTCTTTTATATTTTCTAGGCACAAACAAGGATTTATCAATCTCCACTATAGAAACCTGAACAATTTTACAATTGTATTAATTGAAGAACTGAAGTCTGATAATATCAACTGCTGGGGCTAGTTCTGATACCATAGTTACATTATCGCTAATCTTTTGTATTAAAAGCTGAGAATACAGTATCCGAAACTTTTGGGACTGGAAGTGCTTTTTTTCAGATTTTCTTCGGATTTTGGAATACAGGCTATTCAATTTGTATATAGTGTCAGAGTTAGCTCTTCCTTAATTCCCTTACTGTTTACTAGGGGTCGCTCACCCTACACTATAAATACTGGGCAATTTATTGCCTCGTTCTCTTTTTCACTTTGCATTTCAGTGGACACATTTAAAAATCTTATCTCTCGTAGAGATTTGCGTTTTCGCCCACTTGTGGGAAAACGCCATGAAACACACATACACGTACGTATGAACATTCACCAAAATACAAACTCTTTACGTTCACACACAAACACAAATGTTAATGTCTTTGTCACTTTTAAATTTGTTATTTAATACATATAATTGTATATATATATATATATATATATATATATATATATATATATATGTCTTATTTGTTTTCTTTACATCTTCGGTTGGACTCAACTTGAGTCCGCCATGTTCTTGTAGTTGGACCTTCTTCTAGCAGGAATAAACATCACGTGTTCCTAATTCAACAACACTCAAATCCACACGGTCCTCTACAATAGCATCTATAAAATGGTGCAGCTTGGAAATGGAAGTATCAACACTATATCCCTTTACATTTCATAACACAGCTGATACACATACCCTGAAAGTAGTTTTGTATAAATAACATATACCCTGAAAATAATTTTTATATAAAATTTAATAAATTTTGTGTATAATCAGATACAGGTAATGACGTTGATCATATAATGCTCACACTGATTTATAAGGGTGAAATTAAGATTTCACTTAAAAATAATGTTTTGTAATTTTTGTACGTGTGCAAAAAACATGATCACTACTTATAAAAATATATAAATGCAACACTAAAAACTACTTCTACATCAAGTGTGAGAAACTGGGGGGAGAGGTTCTATCATTGAGGACATCACTGTAAGTGTGAGAAGGAAAATTCGGTAAGCTATCAGTCTCTACCAACGATGTCGAGTTTTGATTAAAATGTTACAATACATACAGGTACAGTATTTGTACAAAAACAAAACATGGATTCTAATTACTGTTAAATGTAATGAAAACTGTAAAAAAAAAATCTCAGCATTTTATATGTAACGTTGCAACGCAATGATCATGTTACAGGTAGACATGTTGCTTTCTGAAATTTTCCATTTGTGGCAAGTTATGTCAGCACCTGAAAAACTTTTGGATTTTGGAGATTTCCCTGTTTGGGAATTTTGGATAAAGGATACTCAACCTGTATCTGAATAACTGAAAATTGATAATATCAACCGCCGGTGGTATTTCTTGCAGCATAGTTGCAGTATCCCCCAATCTTTTCACGTTTTTTTCTCTCAATATAATGGCAATACAAATCTTGATGAAACATGAATAATTTGCGGATTGAGGAATCGGAGAGCCGAGTACGAATTCCAGTCGAATCCATTACATTCACTTACGTGCTAATACCCTTAGGAAAGGTACGAATCCTCTTCTCCCACTAGCTATGGGTAAATAGCGGAACAGACCGGGTTTTATAGTCTTGGATGCCAACTGGTCTACCGCAGAAAGAAATGGCAACCTACTCCGGGAAAAATGTATTGAAAGATACATGATCGCCTACGCGTGTATTATGCAAGGCACATAACTGACTAACTGATTATTTGAAGAATTGAAATCTGATAATATCAACCGCTGGATATTTCTTACACAATACATGTATTTCATACACAGTAAAGGTATTATTATTAAGATTTTCCTGGTTGCATGGTTGATTAGTTGACGTTTGCTTTCTGGCTATGTGATCCAGGTTTGAATTTTACCACTGTCGATTTGTCGGGTAGGTGACTTCTTGATAATATCCCAGTACGGGACCTTTGGAAAGTACCCGAAAACAATACCACGAATTGACCCAAGACTTGTGAGTGAAATTTGGTAGACGAAACTGTTTAGAACCCATCGATGGCTGTACTCGCACGAAGTCATGTTTACTATATTATAATTTTTAATGTGAACGTCATTACAAAAAAGAAACAAACAACAATCGTCTGCTTAGTGATATTCATATTTATTGGAATAACATAACATGTGTCGACTCAAGAAACCTTTGTCTAATTTTAATGGCACTGCTCTCCGCAAGGGGTTCAAGGTAAAACATGATGCTAAATTCCCAAATTGGTTGGGGTATTACGTAGAGTTTAAACTGTATCTCGGGAAAAGCATACACACAAGATTAGATCTTTTGTTTATATGGATTAGATCATTGTTAGAGTTCATGTACATTTATTTGTTTATATATTTTATACATACAGTCAGAATAACAAAAATGAAACAAAGGATAAAACAAGAACAATGAAACATCCATTTATTAGAAATGTCCAAACAATGCTTTTGTTTTTTACTTGAGAATTGTTTAAATGTGACCGAGGCTTTGTGCGTTTTAGCCTTGTTAAAAAAAATTGATCAGGTTAGATTATGTTCTCTCTCATAGAAACCGCAACTAAGGTACGCTCAGTATAGCTGCAGTATAAACCAAAGGGGGACTCAATCGGCTGAGGAGGTATCTGTCATAGGGATTTGCTCGCCACCCTGGCAGACGGGTATGCTCGGAAAAAAGTAATAACCAGCCATTTTCCATATATACACATTAGAACTCTGAAAAAAAAAAAATAATTTTTTATTATTGATGTCTTTTTGACTTCATGATTTCACAGAGTAGCATCAAATGAGCCCATCAGATAACATTTTATCGTTTTTTTTCTATTCATACGGACACCAAATTCATAAACTTTTTAATAATTTATTTATTATTAGTTAAAAAGTGATTAAGTTTTTATTGTTTTTATTAATTTGTTAAAGTCATTAATTTTCATTTTGTATGCACGCGCGAGGACCGTCATTCTGCGTTCTTCTTCTTCTTCTTCCTCTTCTTCTTCTTCTTCTTCTTCTTATTATTATTATTATTATTATTATATACGTAGCACAAACCAGGTGTGTTCTGCTTTCGAAAGAGAGTTGCCTGCATTCTATATAACAGTTTCACTTTCATAGGCTTACAGCCATATCACGTTGAAACACGTACGATCACCGAAGTTAAGCAACGTCGAGCCTGGTCAGTACCTACATGGGCGATCGCTTGGGAATACCAGTTATTGTAAGCTTGGATGTGCGCGTAGTGTTATGGATAAAGGCACGGAATTGGAAATCGGAGAGCCGAGTTCCAATTCTAATCGGGTTGGTTATATTCACTTACGCGCAAATACCCTTGGGGAAAGGCATAAATCCACCTATTCTTCACCCATGGGTCAATTAGTAGGACTTGTATCAGGAAATCATTATCATCTCCAAAAAAATTGTTAAAATCTAAAACATAATTTCTGACTTTAAGTAACTGGTAAAAGGTTGCTAAACCGTAAAAAACAAATCAATCAAAATTCCCTTTTATCACCTCAAGGAAATTCGTAATGTAATTTTCCTGACAAATAATAAACCACTATCCAACATTTTTCACAATTTCTACCATCCATTCTTCCTTCTTTGAACCCGATGTCCGTTGATGTCAACAGCATTCCGGATAATCGCTATTCATTCGGATTATATATAGTTGTTAAAATCTATCATTTTACACATATAGAATCTGCACTCAATGTCTCACCATCTTTGTACAGATTCAAATGGTTGAGTTTTGAATTCAGAGTTGCTCTTCTCCAAGACTTATTAGCAACCACGAGTAGAGATTCCAGACACCCTTGTATTTAACCCATAGTTGTGTGGAGAAGAAATGGATTTATACTTTTCACAATGTTATTTGAGCGGAATTCAAACTCAATTTGCTGATTTCTCATTCCGAAACGATAAGCATTACACTAATTTAAAACCATCTTTATTTACGGAAGATTAGCTGATTTAAAGTTTAATTAATCTGATCTGACACAGATATTACTTACTTTTAGCTTAAAATGTCGCATTAAAGCATTTTTAACACGGAGGTGGGTGTTATTATGAGATGTTGATATCTATCTCGATAGAGTTATGTTTGGAAACTTTTTCTCCAGAGGTCATATGGATAAAGATTACTTGACGAATATAACGTGTGCGCATTTTAATTTTTAACTATCCAGGAATCTTAAATATTTAGGAAAATATTCTCCGTAATCTAATGTTTTATTGAATTTTAGGTACATTGGCTTTAAATTTACTATAGTTACTGCTCTTATTTTCTGATAATGTCGTGTAAAGATGCCCGTATTTACAAACACACACAAAAATTCAGAATTCTTTTTATAATAGTAGAGTTGCTGAATTGTATTAAGCTTTTCCATTTATGATTAGTAAATGTAGTTTTTACTTGATAACAATATCACATAACCCATACAAATAATGCGGGTTTTTAAAAGATTTAAAACTTTATAAATTATTAGAATTAAAATTTTAAAAAATGTAAACAATTCTTGTAAAAATCCATTATTCATTGAAAAATTTTTTTTCTGAAGTCAATAGTGTCCATATATCTTATTCATAAAAGTAATTAAAAGCGTTTCTAATTAAATGTCTTAATTTTATTGCATTTTTTATATTATGATTCAGAACAGGTATGGGTAAATGAAGTCCCATACAGAGCCTTTTATACATAAAATTCTGCATCATTCATCAAAACATTTCCTCATTGAGATTAGTGATAGTATGTATAAATCTTTTATCTGTGGAGAGACTGAAACCTAGTGTTGAAATAATCGTAAATAAAAGTATGTTTAAAGATAAAAATAAAAACAAAAGGCTGTAGATAGAGTTTCTAAGAATTATATCTTTACGGATAGTGATACCTGATACTAGTGTCCTGAGACGAAAAAGTGATAATACACGCAATTCTAACTAATGATAAGTATTAATAATTTCAATAAGTCTGATATGAATAATCACAAAATTTCAAATAAGCCAAATAAATTTTAATGTAGAGGAAGAAAAATTTTTAAAAATCTCCATAAATTATAATTTATAAATTAAAGAGATAGAAATTATAGTGGACATATTATGAGAACATATTCGGTTAATTAATCTATTTCAAGCAAAATTAAAAACCTATTTTTATTGGAAATAATGATACTATATCCTTGCTGAGTGGAGCAATTTAAAATAAAGCTTTATTAACTTATAATTAATGGAGAAAGATAAAAATTACATAACATTTAAAACATATATCAAATTATTAATCTGCCAAATTTCAGCTTTTAAGCATGTATAGTTATTAGAAGTTTTATACACTTCAAGCAACACACATTTAAATTAAGCTGAGCAATTTTCTGTTAAATATTCACACGCATTTTATGTCTACTGTAACGTCCGTGTGCTAGGGATAATTAAAAAGACAACGTATCAAGTAGTCAGCGAAGTAGTAAGAAGAAATGCCTAGTAAGAAATATTTTTATGTCTATTTCCTAAAACAGTTTTCATAAGACGAAACTGGACTAAAAAGAGAAGAAAAGAAAAAGAAAATGAGAAAAAATTTTTGTAAATCCATGCAACTTTTTATGGATTATAAAAGTTTTGGATTTAAACGTTATCTGAAATATTTTCCTTTTCTTCTGAATTGTGGACGAGTTGGCAATTTTTACAGACCAAATTCCACCACCAACCTTCCACAAATCCTTTGATAGTAAAGTGAATAATTTGAAAAAATATAACGATTTATTTTACTATTTTTACTGTTAAAAATGATGCAGAATCTACACAAATTAGGTGGGAACTATTATAATAATAATAATAATAATAATAACCAAAAATTAATGACTAAAATATCTAGCGTGTAAAGATTACAGCGGCATGTCAAAAAAGCTACATAACAGGATAATCAACATAACTGACATAAAAACACTAAAAATAAAATCTAAAATAAGATTAAAAATAGGTGAACATAGTAGAAAACAGACCACTAGGAACAAAAACAAAAAAAATAAAACAAAAACTTCGATGATTCAGCTCTTTGTTTTTGGTTTAAGTAAGTTTCAAAAAACAATCTCTCCGTTTGTATCACTCTAAAACAGATAAATACGAGCATTTGCAACAGGTCGTAGTCAGTCAATTAAAAAAAATGCCAGTTCGTCTATATAAATCTATGCCAAGTGATTCCCTCACTATGAAAGAGATGAGACAAGTCGGTTAGAAATCAAAACACTTATCGACACAATATATCAGTTTCTATAAGTCAATGTGCTTTTACTTCCTTTCCGAGTGTAAACTTCACGTGCAATATTTATTAAAATGTATGAACTTTCTTTATACCAGGCACTTATCTATTACTATAGACATTACAAACAATAAAAGTTATTTTTTTTTTCTGAAAATATACATTCAGAAAAAAAGTCAATTTACACACTCTTACATACAGAAAATACTTGTAAATTATTAAAATTTACTAGTTATTTAAAGCATATTTACAATACTAATTGTGATTATGACTAATCAACAAAGCCGCTATTTATAGGTCAAAAGAAAAAAGTTAAAGTTATTTGGAACGGGTGTCATTTTCTCACGAATATCTGTAAAATTTCAAAGTTTTCTTTTTCGTATACTTCGAATGATAGATGTGATTCCAATAGTTACATACTAATTTAAAATTCAGGATGCGGAATTAGTTAATACTAAACACTTCAAATACTTCGGCGTGTGGATCAGTTATAACAAATTTGGTATAGAAGAAAAGGAAATTGAACATCGAACAGAGGTAATTCCTCAGTAACACAGTCAATTGCTACAAAAGCAAAACATCAGCCTAAAAACTGGAGTCAGTGTTCTTAAATAGCCTCGTTAGGTCGGGGCTTCCATATGGATGCCATGCAAGGCACCAAACCTGTTTAGAAATATCTAAACTGTCAGCTGTATACAATCACTTTCTAAGATCAATGGTTAAAAATGGCTTTAAGCGAGTGAAGCCCGATTGTCTTGGGAATGACCAACCTTCTTTAAACATCGAAGACTGGCATTACATAACCACAAAGAACTGCACCAAATAACAGAAACCACATCACTTGAAGACTACCAACCACAGCAACAACTAAAATGGAAATAAAAAGTTAAGATGATTTTATTTGAAGTAGTGTGAAATGCCAACATCTTGATTATGTCATTATTTTCTCTTTTAGTTACATGTGCTATCAATGTTCAGAGAAGGATGATCTTTGCTGTCACGTTTGAAAGCTATTTTAACTATTGATCGTAGAAAACGATTGTATACAGTACGCAATACTGGAAAGAGCGATAATAGCTACTGGACTTGAAAACCCCATTTTCCTGAAAAATCTTTTTAAGAGAAAGATTTTCTAAATTTCAACTGAAAGCAGGAATTGCTGCTCAGTCAACAAATACCAAATGTTTCCTTAGAGGGAAACGGTTGATGTTACCATTACCATAAAAGACTAAGTAGGGCATCCGTCGGTCTCGAGATCCTATGGATCTGCGCCCGAAGAGTTATGCCCTCTCTGGGGCCCAGGCAGGTCTATTATTATTATTATTATTATTATTATTTTCTTTGATTTCTGGCGTTTACAAATTTCTTTACGGGTCCCACCCAGGGACCTAAGCTTAGAAATGGCACCATGACACTTTCCACTGACAAAAAAAAAAAAAAAAAAAAAAAAAAAATTTACATAGATAAAGCCCTTCGTAAAGTGTGGGCTGTACTTAGAACAATTTTTTGTATCTCTTTGAAACATGGACTTCCAGAAATCCCTTCAATTAGTCTACTAGAATCTTTTCCAGCCAGTCCTAGGGCTCCAACTACAAAAGAGATTGTTGATGTTCCCATATGCCACATTTTTGAGATTTCTATTTATTATGAGAGACTGAGAAATCGAAGAGTCGAGTTCGAATTCCAGTCAAGTTCATTGTGTTCCCTTACGTGCTAATAGCCTCTATCTTTTCTGTCCCTCAGCTCAGATATCTCATTAAATGTTAAATTATTAAAAAAAAATTTTTTTAAATAAATAAAATAAAATGAAATAAATAAGTTTTTTAAGAATTTTAATTATTAAGTTATTGTTGCAAATTATAAATTGTTTTGTTTGTGGTAATCATAGGTGATCCGCGAAATGGTCAATAATTAAATCATTTATCAAGTTGAAATAAGTGTACATATCAAAATTATTGTTGCAAATTATGATAAA